CCTGTGATTTCCAGGGAGACCCTGGCCAGGATGGTCCCCCGGGGCCAGCGGGGCCCCCAGGTCCCCCCGCTCACCCGGTAAGTGCCACGAGGGGGGCACGGGGGTCCATGCCAAGTGTCCCTTGTGCCATGTGTCCCCAGGCTGGGGATGCAGCTGCTGATGGTGCCTCTCGCTGCAGACCTCATGCCAGAAAGGGCAGCAGGGAGCACAGGGACATGGGCACCCATCTGCCCCAGGGACCAAGGGGACATCTCCCCGCTGGAGCCTGAGCCATCCCATCTCCTCGCAGGGCAAGAAGGGGAACCGTGGCAGCCCTGGCCCCGGGGGACAGAAGGGCTATGGTGGTGCCCAGGTGAGGCCAGGGTGGACCCGCCAGGACAGGGACCCCCGGGGGGATCCCTGCTGCCCCCTCCGCTCTCCCTTTGCAGGGGCTGCCAGGGCTGCGGGGGACGAAAGGTGTCACTGGCCTCCCGGGGAGTAGAGGACTTCAGGTGCCATCCCCCTCCCTGTGCCAGGGTCCCTGGTGGGTGCTGGTGGATGCCCACCCCACGGATCCTCCTTGACATCCTTGATCCACCTTTGCCTTTCACCAGGGTCCGCCCGGAGCCGAGGGCTCGCAGGGAGCAGCTGGCCCAGCCGGCCCCAAAGGAGAGAAGGTGAGTGGTACCACGGCATGGCATTTTGCTGCCCCCCTCCCTGTGCACCCCCAGCCTGAGCCCCGCTTCCTCTTCCAGGGGCAGGCAGGAGCCGAGGGCAGGAAGGGGAGTGTGGGACCGCGGGGACCCAAAGGTGCCCTGGTAAGGCTCTGTCCCTGTGGCCACGGCGTGGAAAAGCTGTGGCCAAGGAAGCTGTGGGAAGAAGGGTGTTTGTGTAGGTCCTACAATAATCTGCTTTGGGGTTTTTCTCCCTTCCCAGGGAGAGAATGGGTGTGACCGGAGAGGTGCTCTGGGGAGGAAGGGTGCCAAGGTACTGGCAGCACCGAGCAGGGATGGAGGCTGGTGGGACAACTGTGGGGCAAAGCTCCATCCCTGCCCGTGGGGCTGCCGGGGGTCCCAGCTCCGCTCACGTGTGCTGCTTCCCCCAGGGCGCTCGGGGTCTGCCGGGATACCCCGGGGCTCAGGTGAGTGGGGTGGGGGGGTCTGGAAGGGGCATGGGGACCCCTCTGGGGTCAGCCTGGCTGGGCTGTGGGGTGTTGGGAA